ATATTCATAAGTCATTCATTGCGCGAATAGCGCGTGCTATCATTCACAATGTTTTCAGGCCAACGTACGTCGGCGTACGTTTACACGCGTACATTGTGATTGCAAATCATGAAATCTCGCAAAAGTCTTCATTTTTCAACCGGCGATTTGGACCAAACATTAGAAGTCTCCTGCACGTGTTTCACATGAAAATGAAGCGTATACTTTCCTCTATCTACTAAGCCTTGCCATTTGTTTCGGCCTTTTTTAAGAATCGAATGTACACCTAAAAACTATCGGCCCTCGATTAATATGATTTTGTTTGACAGGCCATAACAACACTTTATATTTGTCAAAAGCAGTTATATTTGTTATCAAAATAAAGCACACGATTTCAACTTTTCACTTATTTAGCCATCTTGGCCAAAGAGTGCATGTATCGAGACACTTTTTGTGTCTTTCTGTAGTCTCGAGTAAATCTCGTAAAGTCTCGCGTACGCTTTTGGGCCATGCGTGATTGACCTCAGGACGAGAAACTGAGGTCAAACAGGGCTGTGTGCGTGACTGGCAGGGTCTGTGGTGGCTGACCCGGGTGAGCCCCGAGAATGACGTCAGAGCTAATCGAACGGCACGGGGCTGACACGTGTCGACCCGGGTGAGCTAAACGAACGCACCCAATGTGTCATGATCTTGCGCATGAGTCGTGCGTACGTGAAAATGCCGACGGCTGGCGGGCGTCACTTGAAATTTGGGCTCCTATGAAATCTGGTCTCTTTCATTTAAAGTCCATCAGCATTTACAGTCCATCAGCAGCTATCCAAAAAGTAACTGACGAAATTATTGTTAAAAACTTACTTATTTTAAAGATAGCAATGGCATACACTAAACTCCCTGTGAAGTTTTTCCTTCTGGCATATGCCGTCATCTTGGCGAAAACTATAAAAGAAGGTCATTTCCAAAGATGAGTCAAGTGACGCATTTTTGTAAATATCCTTTAGTAATTGGTTTGTTATTGGGCGAGTCCGTTGACACGACGCACAATCGATCGGTTGGTTGCTTTTTTTTTTTTTACTTGTAAAGGTATACCATTAGGGAAACACGGCATCGTGATTTCTTCGGAGACACCGATCATTTATAGGGAGACATTTTCATGTCTCCCTAATGTTCTCCCTAATGTCACAGCCCCCCTTTAGAGGCAAGATTTTGCAGTCGCAATTAGGTTATTTTTGTTGCTCGTGGTCTAATTAGTAAACATACCGAAATTCGTGGGAAAAGGACAAGAGGATATTGGGTTAGGGCACATTTAAGTTTGAAAAATGTTGTGCACAAGTCTATGGGGATATCTCCCAAAATCCAGATGTCTCCCAAAAATGTCCTATCCAGGGTGATGCGCGCTGATAATGGCTCGAGCCGAACCTGCCTGACACATAGTTACTCCCTTATTGGTACACAAGTCACATGTTGACTGTCTATGCTGTGGAATCTTGGTGGATCGTCGCGTCGAGGTTGACATGAGTTGCGATTATTTTACGTCGGGATGCCGCTTGTTCAAGAGAATCACACGATTTCTCAGTTTTGTGACCTGAGCATTATTTTTCTGCTTGATACCGACGGTTCCGTCGTGGCGCAAGCAAATCGCGGGTCGACCTGAGGCAGGCTTCAGGGAACAAGATTGAAAAGCGTAAGTAGAGTGCCACGATGCATAATAGGTCTTGCCTTGTCTGGTACTGCACAAATGGCTATCAACGTACAGTTGTAATAGTGCGGCTCGTATTATGTGAAGTCATGTGAACTAAAACTGAGTCGATGTTACTAAAAGGCAAACGAGGGGGTTCAAAGGACAATGCTTTCTTTAAGTCGATAACACTCCGAAGGTAGCTACAGAAGCGTCAGAAGTACTAAAGCAACGGTAATGGACGGTCTTCGTCTGTTCAGGTGTGCTGCAGATGTTCTTATACGCCGTAGGTCTACGGTTCAACACACACATCGATCGCACGCCATATTCCCTAAGCGCAGTGAACGTTGGTGCAAACGCTGATGATGCAGCGATTGTCAAACAAAGACTTTCGCATCGTAACGTGGTGTGTTATTGAGCTACATTACACACGGATCAATTTCTTGATGGCTGGAGATTCCAAGGAAGTCTCGCTTTTCACCCGATTATGCCAAGGCCCTCTGGCCCATGTTTCATTATCTTCAAGCAAACTTGAAACCTCGGTCCTGATTGGTCGATGCATGACAACAACAGTGTGACATTTATACCTGAAACCACGTTCCATATCGCACACCGATGGGCGTTATAGGAAGGCACGAGTTACTGATAAGCAGTACTGTTGTCTACTAGCCTTGACCAAGGCACTAAAACTTGTTCCCCAAACGAGCTTGTTCCCGCTACCAGTGGCGCACCCGGGAGGGGGGGGGGGGGGGGTCGGGCGGCTTGAGCTCCCCCTAAGAGGTTGTCAATTTCTGTTTTTAGATATTTTTTTTGTATTTTTTTTGGTCCCACGAACTGAACTTGGTGATATGAATGTGGCCTATTTTTTAGTAGAATAATAGGGGCCCGTTGAAAGAGGCGCCACCAACGTCACAATAGTCCGTCCCCCCCCCCCCCAAAAAAACCACATTTTTCTTTCGGCGGCCAAAACAAATTGTGAGCCCCCCCCCCCCCCCCCCACCAAATTCTGGGTGCGCCACTGCCCGCTACCGCGCCGCGCACACTACTACCGTTAGCCTAAAACGACCCTTGCATGTACTTTGTCCAAAGGTGCGTACATGTACAATGTACGTACGCCCCATACACACATCCGTAAACAGCCGCACAGTAAGTCGAGGCGGATGACGCTGCCTCGACTTAGTACGGCTGTTTACGGATTGTGTGTGGGGGGCGGACGTACGTACGTGCAAAGCACAATGCAAGGGCCGTTGAGGCTATAGAACAAGCTCGTTTGCAACCTCGTCCCCAGTGCTTACTTTATTTCCAACGTTGTTTCCAATAGTAAGCCCTGGATAGGAAACTTCCTTCCTGTATTCTGTTTCGATATCGCAATTGGCTAGTAATGGATTTTTATCGTGTACTTAGTGTTGTTATTCACAACGTGCAGTACGTCCACGCCTTCTCGAAAATACTCATTTCCTTTCCAATTTGTTCATATTAATATGAAATGTGATACTGCATGTTGTCTCGATAAGGTCGTAACAGTTTAATTCAATAAATCGTGTTTTCGTAACTCACGCTGTGCTCGCGCTGCGACGAATTGACTCTGTTTTTACCCCAGACACCGCATACAAATCGAACGATAATGTAACGCACATGCAGGCACCAGACTATTCCTCATTTGCATACGTGTTCAAAAATCTTGCACATGCAAATGATCCAATACCAGGGTGAGAGAGCAGGTAGTGATGGCCGCGTACTGCTCAACACCCTGGGGTCGAGGTTGGCTCATTTGGGGAACAAGCTGACAGCCTTGGTCAAGGCTATTGTCTACCCTCCCCTTCCTTGCACGGGAACTGTACATTGGGCAGGGCATGCACGCCACGTGCGTTCGCTGCCTGGCTCTGGGTTTGGCGCAAAAAACGTACGCACAAAATTGTATCGGACCCGTAGCATTGAGGAGTACTACGAATCCACAGAATAAAAATATAATTGATGGTTTCAGTTAAGGCCAAAAAAAAAGTCTCCGGTTTCTGGTATGGAGCTTGTCCAAAAAGTGGTGCGGCGACGTGGCTTTTTTTTTTTTTACCCGACTTTTTTGCTTCAAATGTCGGCTGATGACTGCAAATGGTGCCCGACTAAACTTAGTGCAAATATATGGGAGTCCAGAGAGGCCACATAAAGCTTATTCTCGATCATAACCCCATCTAAAAACACGTAGAAATTGCGCAGCAGCAGAATTCCAGTCAAACCAGTGAGTTTGGCGGTTTTGAGACATCATCTTTCATTAAAAAAAAAAAACTTTTTCATTTTGCCGACGCGCATGGCTACGGCGACGCGCGCGCATACCAGAAACCGGAGACTTTTTTTTTTGGCCTAAGGAGAATACACGAGAAAGTGTGGATTCGTAATTTAAGAATTCACGAGGTTTCAGTACACTTTTCAAAGGCACTGAAGGGTGATAAATTCGTCGACTGGTTGACTGAGCGGGTACTTCCAAAGTAGACTATGAAATTAAATACCTATAGGCCTATAGACAGGATCTGACACAGTAGCATTCGTTCATAACTTTAAGGTCGACCTTTTTAAAAGTTCTCGTACAAACAACAAAGGTTGCAAGGAAAGTCGAGTTCCCGATCCCCAAAACATAAATACTCCAATGGAAGCACTTGACATGTATCAAAGTTTTAGCAGGAACCAGCTGATTGTGCTTCCTTGTGCAAAATGCGATCGTAGAATACCCCAGAAAAAAAGTATTTTAAAGCGGACAGTCAACGATAAGCACTTGTCAGTATTTTTTTAAAACTAAATATAATAATTTTGAAGTCAACAAATCCACTATTTTACGATGTAGTTTTAATGCAAATTTTCTAGCATTAAACGGCAATTTTGCCCGAGTATGAAGAACATTCATGGACTAGACAGTCATGGACTAGACTGTAGGCCTCTACAAAGTTAGACGAATTAATAAGGTTTACTTTTAGAGTTTTGTTTTAAATAAAATTCTTCATAATAGGGTAAACCTTATGCTTCGTACAAACAGCTTTACTCATGGCTTTCGCCTTAATGTCAACAATCCACTGCATTTAAGAAAATACATACCGGTACGGTAACACCTTTGAAACCTGTTCTTTTTTGCACAGAAAATTAAGATCCTTTTGAAAATTAATATGTTTGCAGTAAATGTAAAAGACTGTAGCCTGGAAAGATTTTATTGCCGTATCCTTGGGAGTTCGTCAAATATCTTCTTCTTTTTTTGCAGTAGGCCTCCTATAGTAGCAAAACAGAACAATACCGTCCTGTATTTTCATTTTGAAAATTTACGAAAAAAGGGAACTCGATCTGCGAAATCTTTATAATGGCAAACTCAAACAACCTCAAAGTTAGAGTCTGTGATTTTTCCAATGAGTTTAGACCTTGGGAAATCCATTGCTATGATACCGAGTCTTCTTTTCCCGCTGGGTGTGTCTAAGAAGACGCCAAGACGTTTGTTAATCTTGTGGGCAACTGTGAAGGGCCAGGCAAGGACCCCTGTTCCGCTACAGTACGTGAGGTACATAGTGGTTCGCGGGCCCTGTAACGCCTTTTCAAGATGGCGCCTCACACTTCCCCACTTTCTATCGATGTCTTTTGGGAGCAGGGTACCCACATCGTACATATCCTCAATATCGAGGTAAGTGTATGGTAACCCGAACGTGGCCGGGCCTAAATAGTCCCGGAGAACCACCACCTTGCCCCGGACATCACCCATGTTGGGAAACTCTTGCCCGCTCCAGAACTTCTCCGATGGATAGCGGTCGACAAGCATCTGCACCGCCTCCGGGAACAGTTTGGTGTTGTGCTCTGGAAGATACTCCGCCCTGACGCGCATAAAGACGGCTTCTTGGGAATGGGCGTCCAGGAACGTGAAGGTATCATCCAGGACGTTGTCGAAATTTGCATTTTGATAAACGGAGCTGTGGTAGATTAGGAGTTCATTGTCGATATGTCGACAGCGGATGTCGACAAACCGTATCCCGGCCTCGTACTGCCGAGTCAGAGACCACTTTTGGCACTGTAGTATGCAACCGCCGTACAGACACATGGACTCGTGTGTCCCGGGTAAGGCTAGATTGGTCGTCGAGATGTCATCACTGAGAGCCGACATCCAGTTTGATAGATCACCACTCCTGTCGCTCGTGGGGTTGCCGCCATTTTCATGGCAGGGACAGCCTATGCATGTTCCCATCCTGTATGCACTATGACGCAGGCATGTAGCGAATGGTGATTGCTAACGTGTACTGTTCTCACACACGAGAGGAATGAATGGATTTCATTAATATAAGCGGCGATATCATTACACTGACTGATGAATTACATGACGCTATGTAGGCCTACATCAGTAAAGGCTCGCCGTGGTCTACGACGGTCTCTTTGTTGCCTTTCAACACAGATCGTCCTCCGAGTATGTTGCGTGTGCCGTGTTGTCTCCTGTTCTGTATGATATGTACGCCTTTCGCTGCATCATGCACACAAAAAAATGATCCTATATGGTGCATGACTTACAACTACTCGATTTGTAACATAATGCTGGGTGCCGTGTTATATCTCAAGCCGTTGTAGGTTTATGAGTTGGACTAGCTGCTTCCGAATAGCCGCCACTATATCGTGACTGTTATACACGCATGCAATGAAGAGTGACTATAGGATCTTTGGTGGTATGCACAAGCAAATTGAATTATTCTTATGCGAATTCATTGATGCATATAAAAACTGCTGGTGTTTAGTAGGCCTAGGCGTACAATAATATTATACGAGTGGACTATAGGCACATTAAACAGGCAAACCTATGAGGGCCGCATATACGCGTGTCCATGAAAACTCACAGGTAGATTGAAATTCAAAATAATATTGTCTACTAGGGTGAGTAAAAAAACTGCACTGATGCAAAGGAGTTATTTTTTTTTCGAAACCAAATTGAGGTTTTAAAACGTTTTCATGTACTGAAATAACAGCGAATCACCAAAATAAAGAAAATTTACAACGGCAAAATATCCCGAAGAAAACCTCAAAATCGCTATTTTTTTCGCCACAAAAGGGCGCTCTCTGCGTTATGCATATTCATGATGTCCAGGGCTTTGGAGAATAAGTTATATAACAAGGAATAATGGTGTTTAAGTCACCGTGGACTGGTTGGAAGTAGTCCTGACTTCTAATCTGGTGATCCGAGTTCGAGTCTCAGTGAGCGTTGCTCACTTCTTCTCATTTTACCTTTTAAATAACTAAAGTGAGGAAGGAACATTTCTCACAAGACGTAAAGCCTATCTTGGGTTTGTGTTGTGGAGAACAAGGCATTAAACTATGCATGTAATGGACCAATCAGAAGATGGGAAACGGATGTCGTTTGGGAAAAAAGATTCGCCGGGGGGTGGGGCGGTATATCCTCCCCATCTCACTAGCATTTACGCTCACGGTGTGGGTGTTGTTTGCATATAAACATAAATGGATTTGGAATGTTTTTAAGGTTTTGGGCCGGCAGAGTCCTGTTGTTGAATGTGTTCTTGCTGGCTACGATGTACAAAAAAAACAGGCCCGTCCACCAAAAGTACCCCTGTCACTAAAACCAATCGAACTATCGTTATTCTAGCCATTTCGTGGACATTAATAATGCACGAGAACCACCACATTCAAATTATTTAATCGTAATTTATTCCATTTACTGCAAATATCAATAAAGAATCTGTGTGCACATCAACACTTGAACACTGACAAAAGCTGGTCTAAAAGATTGAAGAATGACCTTTTCATTTCAAAAATATCACAAGTTGAGATTATTACTATCAATGTGCGTCTTCATACAAAATACAATACATAACGTTCCAAATTTATACAAACACGTTTCGTAAATTTGCAAAACAATCTTTTTGCTTTTTTGATTCTTTTATTTAACGATTAAATAATCAAAATTCCATAATTTTCTTTCCTGATTCCTTAATGTTTACTTAACTTCAAACCAGACCTAACAAAACACGGACATTCCTTGTTAACGTTTGTTCATTTGTTAAAGTAAAATTGCTATTTTTAAATGAATTTGGAAAAGCACACTTTTCTTACAGTTGGCTTTAAAATAGAAAGTCATAAAATCACGAAGAAGAAAGATTAGATGGAAAATATAGAAGGGCAAAGACTATCGCTTTCCCAAATACCACATCATTATCCGAATACCGTGTGCAATTGAAATATTTCAGGCTTTTACTCTTTCCAGTTAAAAATAATTAAATGAATTTTAAAACAAAAATCAAAATGACTACAACCTTTAGCAGAAAACATAATAGTATAGCTGTCCGTGCTATGCTTTCAAATTTCAACCCGATATATTTTTTAAATTACTATTTTTCTTAGCAATACAAAGTAATTCTCTTTTGATTGAGGCATCGAACGCAAGAATCGGTACACGTGTAGTAATATGGAATAATTTCTTTCAAAATTTTGAGTTATTTGCGGCCCGACAATAATTTAGTTCTCACAGTGTAGACTGGTTACCGCCCCATATCAGAACAGATAACGTAGGGGGCCGGGGGACCGGTTTGTTACTGGGCAAAAGCAACTAACAAAGACACGCTCTGATAAAAAGTAGATGGTGCAAAAATACTCTATAGCGGAAATATACAGACTATCAATTCATTAAAAATATCGATGATTCGCATTTTGAATTTATATATACATTTATCTCATCTATACACATTAACTCTACCAATAAATAAATTTAAGCCTCTTCAACATATATAACTAAAGAGATGTGAAACAATTCCTCAAACTTTGCAAAACACGTCTAAACCTGTCCCTCATATATTCAAATTCTGGTACAGTACAAATCTAATCGTTAATATTTCAATCAGAAAAAAAAACAAATAAGTAAATGAATACGGAACCAGTACATGCCAATAATTTTATGCAAAATTTATCTTACCCCCCCCCCCCCGCATCTACTGTATGTTGCAAAACATTGACTGAATGTATGAAATACTAGTCCCTGATTTTCCAAATATAATTTAAATACATCTAGTTTTCTCTTCATCAATAAATAAATCAAAATCTAAACAGATGGTATTGATTTAATATTTCAAATCTAGAGAATACTAACACAAAACGAACATTTTCACTAACTTCCAAAACTAAAACAATTTGATCGTTCCTGGACCAACATTAGAAAAATCTAGGATTTTTACAAATAGCTCGTAACCCGGTGGGCGCATGTATGTTTCTGAAATATAACTTCTTAAAACGCTTTTCCTTGAAAAACAATTGTGGTAAATGAAAGCATAAATAAGGTATGTTCTTAGCCAAAAAAGCCACTGTGCCTTTGAAATTCTTGGATGTTAAAAAAAACCCACAAGATTCTATTTTTGGACTTGGAGGATTTTGATAACAGCGTCATAGCTGGGGTTCTCACCATTGGGGGGGGGGGGGGAGAGTGGGGGTGAAGGGGGGGGGGGCTGGATGTTACGGGGGGGGGGGGAGACGATGCCCAATTTCTGTTAAACCATTAACCATGGTCACTTCAGGACTAACAAATATCCAGTGGGGGTGACGAAGGGGGGGGGGGGGAGGGTTATTAACTGTAACACAACCTCAGAAGTTCTTTGGGGGGGGGGGGGGACGGGTTCTGCTGTATGAAAACCACACTGCCTGAACCACATTTTAACTGATAAAAGAAAAGACCCTGTTCTATTTAATTTGCTGACACATACTTAAAATACTTCTGATAATGCATCTCACAATGATGCTAAAATAAAACAGTTGCAAAAAATATAATCATGGGTGAGAAAACCAATAAACATTGCTGCAAACCCTTATTACTGTTGCGGCACAAATAGAAATTACTACGTGGCTTTAAAAAATTAAAATATATTTTCCTTTAAAAGAAATGAAAATGAAAAAAAAAAAGGATTGTCGATGACTTCAGTTTATGGATCTTGCTTTGATTCAATAAGATATTCTCTCACTTTCAGACATATTTGTTTTTGTCAGAATAAATACAATGATGCATATATGGTCATACTTTTGTTAATATATGCAATTCATAGAAAAATAAAAGCTTTCGATATAATATTCCTATTCTCAATTGGTTGTCTCATATAGTTAATCCAGTTTCATATCAAAATTCAGTTAAAATAATTCTTGTTTTCTCTTCAATCTTTCTGTGGCCATCTTGCTTTTATATCAAGATCTCTAGGTTGGTGCCCATTATGAGTTGGCTGACACCATGTTAATATCCAATATAAAGTCAAAAAACGTGACACATTTAGCAGCCATTACAGACTCTCTCTTCATAATTACTCAAAATCCAATGTGTTATTAACATTGTCTTCTTTTTTGAAAATCATAAATTTTCACCTATCATAAAGAAATATCTGAAAGATGCATATCTTTCTATAATAATAATGTCTTTTCCTGATATTCAAAAAATCTCATTTCAGACAAAAGTCTGAAAAAATCTCACGATTTCTTGTTTCCTCATCTTATAGTACAAATTCCGACTGTTCTTCGATTCTGACAAATCTTAGATCAGGTAAGCCCTACTGTCATGTGATCGAAAGTTTTCCATCCTTTGTTGACATTCAGATGTGATCATCAAGTCAGGGAACCTGACTATCCTTTTTCCACACTCCAACTTGTTTCCCCAATGCAAACCCATCCCTGATATGAGTCGCCAAGGCATATTCTCTACCAGTACTACGTATTGTCATCATCATCTTCTTGAGAAGCTAACGAGGGCGCTTCCTGGTTATATAACCGCGGCGGCGATGAGCTTTGAAGTACTTGTAACGACTGATGCACCTATATCAGAACAAAGAACAATATGTAGATACATGTACCTCAGTCACAGGTGGATTTGATACCATTCCACGCACGCATTTCGCTCGTACCCCCCGCCCTGCAAACAGGACGCTGGGATACTCTGATGAATTCACACTCTGATTGGATAGATTTTGCGTGACCTGTAACCTGCGCGTCATCACGGTCGTGACTCTGCAAGGTTTAAAACGGCCGTTAAGACGGATTAATTACTCTTTTATTCCAACTTAGAGATGTTTTTTTTTCGTTGAAAGGCGTAATAATGTAGGAAATTCTGTAAAACTTATCTGCGTTGTAAATTTACAATTCCCATCACTTGCTCAGGCTCCGTTTTAAATCACGAACGGTCGGATCATGGTCGGATCATGGTCGGAATGCATTATGCGACGCTCAAAATTTTGACCACATGGTCCGCAATGAAACAGAAATCACATACGGTATGGAATGTGCGCGATTCTATGGAAAGTTTTCGGATAGCATTTGCGCACATTGTCTAACTGCGGTCTTGAACAGCTGCAGCCAGATGCTTTCTACATTGGTCATATGCCACTTCCTTCACAAGATTCTGTGAAGCTCATCAGTGTATCCCAGCGCCCTGTTTGCAGGCTGGGGGGTAGGGGAGAATGCTCGCATGGGCAGAGAAACAACACACCTAAATGACTTCAGGGGCCTAACAGATCCAACTTGTACAATGTCTTCTAGGGTACACTATGAGCTCCACGGTTAGGGCCCATCTCAATTCATATCCAGAGAACTGTGCTAACCTTAAGCACTATATCATGGCATGGATATGCTAACATTACGCATGCAGGAAAGGCCAAGTGTGGTTGCAAACCATTTTTGAAAATATTTCATCTAGCCTCACAATGTGTAATGTACTGGTATACTACCATTTATTGAGAGTTTGTGCTCAACAATTGTGTTCAAACTACAACTGCCTTGAAACATGACAAAGATCAAAGGTTAAAGGTCAAGGCGTGTCTTACCTGTGCAAGTGTCCTGAGATTATCTGCGATTGTCTCCCACATTTTGGAGATGAGTTGGCTCTGAGCTGCTTGCTGAGACCACCACAAGCTACTCCACCTGAACAGAGAAATCCAGACATCATTACACTCAGCAGAGTATGATTTTACAGCTGAAAAAAAAAATACAAGTTCTACAAAAAAGGCCAGTATAAAGGGACAATAGTAACAACAAAAAAATGATTCCAACTGCAAAATCTTGCGAAGGATTTCCTCATCTGAGCAAACAACTCCCTAAATTGTGCAAATGCTGAAGGATATCGAGGAAATGCTTTTAGAAATTTTGAAATGATTCAAACAATTTGTGGAAATGATTGCGGCAAGAGTAAAAATGATTTTGGAAAACTCAAGAATGATTTAGGAAATTCTTTGCAATTAGTTAAAGGACCCATTTTTTTCACAACTGTCCTACCGAATCTAACCCCCTAGTAGTTCCTCAGGACTACCCTGCTAAATCCAACAGAGTCCAACTGGAGTTTTCTGCTCAATCCACTGTGCCTAATTTTCAGCTGTCTACTGAATCCAACGGAGACCAACAATGCGTTATAATGCGGTTCAGTTGCCTGCTGAATCCAACATTTTGCATCAGGAATGTACAAAAAGGGTTGACTGCTCAATCCAACAGGCTCCATCGGGTATATGATATAGTTGGAGCCTGTTGGATTCAGCAGGGTTAGGGTTAGAGCCTGAAAGTAAATGGTCACGTTGCGAGCTTCCGGAACCCTTGCGCAGAATGATTTCTAACTGCAACCACCCGAAGAAAAAGATATGTTTGGAATGTTATATTGGTATTCTTCAAGTAACAAAGGAAAAAATCGGATGGAGATGGGTAAAAAACGAATTCCATTAACAAACTTTCACATCCGGTGGTGTCATTCCTAGGTCTCCTTGCTCTGTGGACGTTTGTCTTCAAATTGTGTACTTGTGTGAGAACGAGAATGCATAACGTTGCAAAGATTTACCTACCTACAGCCGATGGGTTCTAGATTTAGTGGGGTTAGCTTGAGCAGCTTATGGCTGCAAGTTTATTCACACAACTTGAAAACCTTAAAAGACATCTTGGTCTTCTACTTCTATTTCAGTTGTCACCAAATAGCCAACACAAACTTCACAAATTCTCATACGTAAACTGATTTAGCATGTTTAGAGGTGTGCATCCGTAGGTTGCACTAGTCTGCATACGGTACATGTATTTTAGGTTTTCGAAAGTGAGAGGTCAATTTTTAAGTCAGGCGATTTTAGTTTCCATATATTGAAATGCTATTAACAATTTTACAAAAGTCTTCTCCGGGGGTGATTTTCTTAAGAAGTCAATGAACCCCCAAAAATAATAAAAATATAAATTACATTTTACACGTTAAATTTGTCCTATCCAAGGGTACCGGAAGCAGGCCACCAAGGGGTGAATTTTCAGGCACTATAACGTATGCACAAACAAATCTGTAGAGTTCAAAGAGGTGTGGCAAACTTACAAGAATGAGAGGGGGGATGTTGCATTCACTTTGCTCCATTTGATAGAATGAGTAATGAGCTTCTAACTGAAGGTTCATAAACCAATATATGTACATGTACATGTACAAAGTTTTATAGCGTCACAGGTACATGAGGACACTGGGCACAAATAGCACTACATGCATGACATGTATCTCCTTCCAGCAACAATGATGTTGGTCTTTGAACTGCAGTGAGCAGTTGCGTTTGAGTTTGGTTTGGCAATGCCTGTGAATCTCAACACTCAAGACATTCCTTATGAACCTTCTTTAACTTCTGTTTTGGCAATTGGCAAAAGTCCAGCATCTCATTTGAAGTATAAGACTGCTGTGACTGACTCATATCCGTAGTTCTTACTAAGGAAGTTTTGACACTCGTTGAATACTCACTCGCTGAGTGTCTGCGTGTACTGTAGTGACTGAGGTTTATTGTCGAGTTGAGGCTGCAGCTTTGCAATACGGTAGGTCAAGATAACGGCGGATACGGTCAAGCAAATTATTCTGCAAATGGGGAAAATTTGGCAGATGAAATGACAGACATGGTAACTTGATGTAAGCATGAAACTGAAAGGACCTGAAAGTGTGACATCTTGCTGAGAATCATAACACACAACTAAAGTGGTTGATATTTTCATAACTCATAGATCGGACCATTATCATGTTACGGCCATCTCGGCCTTTTTTCCCATTCAAATCAACGTAACCAAGGCCAGGCTGGAAGGAAAAATAGTCTGGTTCCTTTTTGCACAAAAAGCGTTATCATTCAGTACTGTTATCAGATACAGGGAACATGACTGAAATGGTGGCAGCATGATAGGTCTATTATTAGTTATCATATCCCACCAGTGCAAGAGGAACACAGGAATAATGTAGTGCGTCTGTGTCCCACATACCACGAGGCCAAAAGGCCGAGTGGTATGTGGGACACAGACGGACTACATTGTCCGTGTTTCATGAGCACAGTTGGAATAACAACTTTATCTTCAAGCAAACTTGACGCATAGTAAAGATGGAACACACACGCGATACACACAGTTTTCAGCGGTTATCCTATAATACGTGCGTGCAGAAAGAATGGCTCACGCAACTTGGAATAGCGTGATCCGCAGAGTGCAATATCGACCGTGCTATTAGGTATAATATCACACCGTTGTTGCAATGGATCGACCAATCAGGATCGAGGATTCAAGTTTGCTTGAAGATAAATAGGCGATGTCAAAACTCTTTCATGTGCAGTGTGGGCAGAGTGTAGCTGTAACATTCCCAAGTTTCTGCTATGGCCCCACTACTCAATCCAGCTTCAAAGCCACTAACACGCAATCACAACTCATGAACTCATGAAGTCATGAACAGAATCTGATGCTAACATTATTCCAGACTATATGCTAAGCAAATGCTGGGCACATGAGAGAAGGAACTCTATTTGAGTTACTTACAAGCAAGCGGTAAGAAGGAGAAAGAACTGCGCTGGCGTCATGGCTTTCAGTAACTTGAGCAACCTCTCCAGGGATTTGAACACACTCATAGCAAACAATACTGTATTGTAAAAGCAAAAAAAAAAGCCTTAATATATCAAACATTACAGACTGAACGGAAGCAATCTCCGAGAATAACGTGAGTGCAGTTTTGCTCACCAGGACACACCTGTGCCATCTCAGGCCAAGTGATAAGCTACTTAAAGTAACTGTGTCAAGGGAACTCATTTGTTATTGTTCATCCCTTGCAGTACCTCCGGTATTGACTTGTTACTGATTGGTGAACGACTCAAATTTACAGGACGTGTTCGATGATAAATTTCAAACTCTGCTGTATCCAGAACTGAAATAGGTTGGAGCTTTAATTACGGTACAAAGAAACTTGGTCCAGTTGACTCCCATTTAAAAAAATACAAATTCAGCCACGTCTAGCTAAAATGTTTGTCATATTTACAATTTATCAAATAAAGGATCGTTTGCATTCATCCCAAAAGTAACCTAGCAAATTATTGTAAGCAAGCTTATTGTACTGGTCATAAACACCCCGTGAAATTGTTCCGTCTGGCTAATTGCTGTCATTTAGAAGAAGTCTAGAAATGTTGGCGATTTTCAACGATCACTCAATTGACTGATCGTTGGAAACAAAGAGTTAATTATATTAACAAAATGTGTTTTGTGATCCAAAGATTGTGCATGGTTGTCACTGTTCTTGAAACACACTAATATGGGTCATTCCACCGGGTTGGGGAACAATGTGTGACATATGACCATATTAAGAAAAGCGTGAATGCCTTGCTAGCAGTTGCTCTACATAATATTTGTTGTTGTGTGTTTCACTACTGCAGAAAGTTTGAAATCATTTCAATGTATTTTACCAAAAATATGAGCAAAAAATGTCATTTTGAACGTAACATTGACACCGTGTCAGTGTTACGTCCAAATATGACATATGTAAGGTTTTTTTTAAATTTCTGCGAAACTTTACCCAAATTCAGTTTGCGTACTTCTTACTATAGATGCAACACAATAAGAAAAGCTTTTGTTACGGTAGTCGGGTATCAAATGGAGCAGATATGAATGCTTGGTTGTGTGGATGTAACACTGACACGGTGTAAAACCCAAATGTCACACTTCCATTGAGTGATTTTTACACCGTTACATCCACACTTGAGGTATTGTTTCTGCTATATTTGAACCCCGACTATACCAAAACAGAAGCTTTTCTTGGTGCTTTGGTGTCCAGTTGTAAATATGAAATGTCAGTTTGGGTAATATTTTACATACCTGTAAAATGTATATATAACAGCTTTTAACCAGTTCACACAGGAGGCCGTGTATACACGCAAACGTTTTGCGGTATGCGGAACGAATGACAGATAAACACGCAGGGAGCAAGGCCAGAAATATCTGTCAGCGACCCGCTCGCAGCGAGCAAGGCCGGAAATATGAGTGTTCTGCCCGAGGGTGATGGCTTCAACCCACCTGGCTTGAGGTCCAGTGAAAAGTAATCCCGCGCCTCGTTCTGTTCTTGTCAAAACATTCCCGGCGCGAACTGGTTAAAGGTAATTGGCAGGTGTGCAGAAAGCTGGCACTGGCCAAAGATTGCAAGGCGTGGGAAGATAATGGTTACACCTGTCAATTATTGCAATACATGATGCAAAGAGAAAACTTGGGGGTCGGTGACTTACATTTACACATATATTGACAGCTCCCCGTGGCAAATGAAGGGTTGCTGTCAGCTACCGGTAGGGTGGTGGCTGGGTTGTGGCTGCATTGGTGACTACTGTTCACGTCATTCTCTTTATCTGATTTGACCACAACAATAAATGGATGCAATTTAGATCAGATGACAAGAAATGTAAGGAAATCCAAGACAGCCTCGATTTCTTTGAAATTACTGTTAAAATTTTAACTTAAAGGGAATATACATCATTTGCTTTTGCTGTAATTTTCAGAAATGGATGGAATTGGGGGGTTGGAAATATATAGCAAATATAGTTACACTGACTTTTTTGAGGTTTTGGGTTCGAAAATGCTATAAAAACCAAGAAAAACGATCATTTTCCTGTAGTCTGGTTCCCTGACTCCATATAGAAAGAAACAGAGCAGTTTACATACATTGGGGAAATGTAAGGTCAGGGAACCAGTCTAGCTGGCTCGTACCCGTTCATAGGTTTGTAGTCGATTGCAAACAAGTGCGATGGTCAATTGGGGCCAGTATTTGAAAAAAAGCCAGTTGTTTCCAACGCTGATCGGCCGATCAGCGTTGGAAATTGATACAAAAATACCACTTTTCTAAAAAAATGACAGTATACCAGGTGCCATGATTTTACAGGATCCTTTACACTGTCATTCACTAACAGTCCAGCATGGTATTTCAAAATGATTTGGTAGTTTTATTTTTTGATGTTTGCAAATGTTGTATTTTCCCTTTAAAGGTAAAGCAATTCTATGTTATATCGTCGGGTGCCTGGAAGAAGGTCTTAGGGCGAAAAATGGGTCAAAAGGTCAAATATCTTTCATTTGATATACATATTGTCTCAATGGGCTACGTCATTCTGACGTAATTAATAGTAAACAAAAGACGGAAGAAGGTTTTTCATACGGGCCCGCCAAAAGGTTGTAAGCGTGTAATTCTAATGTAACAAAAAATGTTCCAAGCGCCCTAACGTCCCACTCAAGTGGGTACGCAAAGCCAATTTTGTTCCCGGCAAAAGGTCAAAGCAATTTAACATGCCGCTTAAGTGTACGTTTAAGGCTTGGGAAGTTCCCAGTAAAAAGTTGTTAGCATTACAATTGAAATAACTTCACAATTAAGTAATATTTTGACATAAAAATGCACAAAATGTTATTTCAATTATAAATGAATTTCATCAGTCAACTTGAAATTTCAACATTTTGTGATTTAATGGCAGCACCAAACCTTTCAACTCGATTATCTCCAAAAGTGCTTTTTGCGTGCCTGGGCTTCTTACAACCTTTTCCTTGTCACACAACGATATGTAAGCATTGAATGAATAATGCTTATTTCCACCGTCGTCGCTTGCTTAAAATGCTAGCGAAAAATTAAAGATCTAATTTAGACTTACAGTGTATCAGCTTTGCGTCTGACCTATCGTATTGCAAAGTTGAAGTACCAGTTTACATAGTTTCTACATCTTTATTACATCTAGCTGTTAGTCTGCTTGGCAAATACGTTTGTAAAAACACACAAATATTATGACAAACTGTTTGTAAATGGAACCAAATTTCAAACAATCCGATTTAATGGCCTCTCATGTACAGATTGATGACATTTCTTTCAAACAAACAAAATTTTAGATATATTAGGGAATTCAGGCTTCATTGTCTGTGATGTATATATTTCAAGTGCTGTACATTCTTACCATGACCATCGGGAGTTGTATTGTCATCATGTGTAGTCTCCTCATCATACTGTAGTCTCTGCTCCAGCTCCTCTGAGTCCTCATCCTGTGAATAAATCACAGCAGTGAACATCAAATAGTACCGGTAACAGAAGTACATGTAAGCTCAATTCCCTGTGTACGGGTATGCTAACAAGAGTGAATCCACACTAAAGAAAAGTACTTGTCCTAAAGTAGGCATTACTCTAACCAACCTTGTTTCAATGGGTACGATCTCGCTGCGCCATGTTGGTTCCCATCATGCCTTGCGCAATCTTAACCTCTGGAATTGTGTAATTTTAATGTCCAACTATTTGGGACATTTATATTAGGACTGCAGTCAATGTATTTAACTCAAGACGCAGTGCTTAAAATTTTAAAAGTTTTTTGGTAGAACCAATCCTTTTCAAACATGAGATTTCGAGGTCGCATTATTTAGCACGGATTTACGTACCATAGGTACCTCTGTCGACCCTTTACAACACAAGATACAGGTTTTTGGGGCAAAAAACGAGGCATCCAGAATCCATATCGTACAGGCATCGCGCAATTTTGAAACGTGACGTGCAGGAGATAAGGCGCAAGTGCATATTGGGCGTGCAGTCTTACAAAATATGTGTGCAGTAAGCTCTGAATAACTGGTCAGCATTATTTACGTATTTCCCACGGCCAGGGTTTAGTGAAGGAACGTGCACGTGCCCAAGGAGTCGAGGCTGCACTCTAATCTACATAACGTGTACTTACATTGTATAGGCCTTGACAAATGAAATGTGTTGCTGATCCTTATCAGGCACACTTCTAGACCACTAATTTGTTTGTTTTTGGTGAAATTGGCTAAATTATTTCAAACTTAATTGGTTTTGATCTGCAAAAAATTATTTATAAAATCAATGATGTTATTCTGTTATTTAATAAAAAAAAATTTGTTTGGGGAGGGCACCAATAGGCAACAGGCACTTGACTACTTGTAAGCATGGTAAGGGTCAAGTGGATCCATACTTGCAGAATAGGAAAGGGTATAATAGTGTCTAACATGGATGAATTAAATGTCAGAACAGGTGTGATTTAAGGTCTTACCTCTGAGCTCGGCACTAACTCCAACTGACTCGGTACTATGCCACTGCAGTCATTACTGTTACATGATGAAGACGCCTCCTCCTACCATAAATGAAAATACCATTGTGATTAGCGCTCGTTACTTTTTCAAGTTGGCCATTAATCGTTAGACCAATCTGACCACCCTGTCACAAGGGCCTCACTCAATGGCGAAAGCATTGTGCTAGCTTTGTTAACCAGTTCACGTCCGATGAATTGTATACACGCAAAGGTTTTACGGTATTCGGAACGGATGACGGATAAACATGCAACGAGCGAAGCCAGAAATATCTGTCTGCGGCCCGCTCGCAGCGAGCGAGGCCGGAAATATCAGGGTGTGCTACTCACAGATGACGGCCTGAACTCGTCTGGCATCAAGGTTCGTGGAAACATCCCGCGCCTGGGTCCGGTCAATGTCAAAATAATCCCGGCGCGAAGTGGTTAAGATAATCTGTCACAGGGCAGTTGCTTTGTACATGAGCATGCGCAATGGTTTCTCCATTGAAGGGGGCCTCGTGAGTGTACAGTGATCACGTGCTTGGATTCGTCCAAGTACAAAATTTATAGGTGACACCTCTTAGAATGCGGTAGACTTATTAAAGCATTGCAACTGCTCCTAAATGAACTTGATGCCCCTCTCAAGAGATAAAGAGAGACATGACAGAAGCTATGGAGCTGGGTTCACATATTTCATCAAGGGCATTTTTGAAAAAGGCAAGTGAATTTTCAAAAATTTCTAATCAAATTAGATGCACTGCAATTAAGTACACTTCTCAAATTCTGGGAAGTTCAGAGATATGATTGAGTAAACCAAAAACCAATTTTGTGTTTGGTTTACTCAATCATATCTCTGAACTCCGCAAGGTGTGAAAAAAATGCCTGCTTGAACTCATGGGAAAGTAAAACAAGCCTCCCTAGGTAATCTGTGAAGTGTTATATTTCCCTTCTACTTTACCCAAGGAAATAGAACAATCGATTCAATGTAGATCACCTTGGGAAGACTATAGATTTATTGTGCTCGGAGCAATCAACGTTTGTGCACCATAACTTCATTACTACATGTACATGTACATTGTATGCATTGTAAGGCACATAGTAAATGCAAAGGGCAGGAAGAGTGAAATAAACCCACGACCCAATTTCTGTTTTTTCCCCCATTTTAAAAAATGAATCAAGCCTACCAATGCCTTATTGTCCTGCTGCAGCATGCTGTCCATGCATATGCATACTGTATTGCTTCAAAACATTTTTTTTAAACGCTTCCACATTTCATTGCCTCAGCATCATCAAAGCTACTCTTTCATACAATGACTGGGCACATATCCTTATAAAAAAGTCATCACTTGCAAGATTTTTAATGAACAATTTTGGGGTAAAAAGCTCCCAAAAAAACTTGCTTTATATTACACTGAAATGAGATAAGACATAGTGAAATTCATGTAGTATTATCTTATCAGTGAAACAATTTCACACAAAAACAGTCTGAACAAATTTAGCTTATTTTTTTTTCAAGATCAAACTCTGGCCCGATAATTTCAGGTCATGGCTCCGAGACCTTTTAGTATAAACGAAATGATATAGCAGTCGACTGGGACCTTGAAATTTTAATCCATCCTGATGAACGAGTCTAGAACTCATGCACATGTTTACACTGGGCAACCTACTGTTTAGACAATTGATCTGTAATTAAATCTCTATTGCTCGTCAGTAAAACCATGACAAGCGAGACCGTCATACCTCTTCCAACTCCGTGGATGTTGCCGCGTTCTTCCAGATCTTGATGAGCTGCATGTAGGTGGATTGTCTTGATAATAACGAACCAAATACATACTATAAACAAAGAGGAGAAAAACAGTATTAGCATGCATGAGCAATTCCACGCCTAAGTGGACATGGCTGAAATGTGCAAAATATATAAAATCTTCAGAACTACAAGCATTACAACCTAAATGTGGTATCAAATGAAAGGGGACAACAAGACCTTTAATTTGACTGGTGTGCCAGTGAGTTGCAATGTGGTAAATGTTGTTTTTTTCTTTTGCCAAAAAACGCCTCCTGGATTTGGGGCTGAGCTTTTTTTTTAGGTAGCCATTTTGGCATCTTCTTTTCACATGTTAAATGCCAGTGTTATTGAGAAATTTTCTTTTCAAGGCATGGAGAAAAAAAAGATCAATCATCAAAATTTCATTTTGTTTATCAAAAAGATACCTTGCCTGTCTTTTTCACACGGCATACAAATTGAATTTTGTACAACACTTCATGAACATTTTATTTTGTATGTTGAAAAAGAACAAAGGTCAATTGTGCTCCTCATGTCATTGTGTTATATTAAAATTTCCTTTTCCCTTAGACATTCATCAAGGTTTCAAGTGCAAAAACAAGTTAAATGTAGGCCCAATATGTACATCTGTACATGAAGGAAAACATCTTATTTTAAAAAGTAGATTTTTGATTGTCCTAACAAATTTCCAATTTGTATGTTTTGTTTTAATAGAATTTTTTTCCCCCCAATTTTGGGCGTCTGCAACCCTCTGAAAAAGGACTTTCATTTTGTACACAAATAAACCCGCCCTGCAAGAGTTGAATTACTGTCCGAATGCAAACAATTTTAATTTGTAAAGAAATAATTAAATAATTAAACATTGATGGATTTTTTTTTTTCATTTGATGTGTCATTCAATAGTGATTTTTTTCTTATACTGCTAGGAAAATAAATTGAAATTGAGGAAACAAATCTATTTTTCAGGGTGAAACTTTAAAAAAAAATCACAGGGAATAAAATTTAAATGTGGTACACAAACATGTTCTACCATGTTTGTTTATGGTGTAAATCGAGCATTTTCTTTTGTTCCTCTTCCCTTTTCCTTTGTTTGTACTCTTTTCGCAACAGCTCTCATTGGTCTTGTACACGTTTTCTAATCGAGGTCGTCCTCGATTTGGTTCCTGTCCTCGATTCACCAATGATGTTGCACGTTTGTGTCCTTGATTTACACCATAAACAAATGCAACAACACATACATGTACGGTAAATTGTTCAGTTCTTGGAGGACATTTTGATGATTCAATCAGGTTTTCACATATCCCATTACAAGAAATGCTGATAGTTTTCTGAAAATTCTCATCAGTTACAACAAATATTCATAATAATTATAATCAGATTTATTTTTATCAAATTAGAACTATGAGAGAGCTACTAGTAAATGAAAACATGTGGAATTATTGACAAACGTACAGGAGTGCTTGATGCCATGCAAAGGACACCGATAATTCACGCTTGAGTTGTTTGGCACCATAATCCCCCATTGGCTTTCTGGATAAATTAGGTCTGATCCAATGACCAACTCCGTTATCCTGGGAATTGACCCAGATGCTACAGTTTTCATCACTTCTACATTTTAAGCAACCGGACCACGGCTGACAGGAGATACATGTATGTGACAGTCTTGTGGAAAGTATACCACCGAGTGTTTAATCTGCAACTTGAAAATTTGACCAATAATTAATGATTTTGTCTTTAGATATCAGTGGCAAGCAAAAATAAAAAAATGACTAAGCATCAACCCTGCACATCATCAACATAAATACGAGGGACATTACACAATGACCACAGCTACCGGTACGGTATCATTAAAAAAAAAAGTGAATCAAAACAAAACCCGAAATTATAAAATATTGGGTTTGCCTCAACACTCAGTCTGTAATGTTTCAATTAAAGGGACTTTAGGCCTATGACCTGGAATGCGTCCAATTGGGCACTGAAACTTGTGTTGTAGTCGAGTACTTTTTTCCGAGTACTGAGTACTGCTGAGTACTTAGGTTACCGAGTACGAGTACTTGTACTTCTGAGTATGAGTACTTCCGAGTACTTTTACTTGTATTCTGAGTACAAGTGAAAGTACTTCTGTTTTTGAATACGGCCCCACGGCAAATGGTTCATTGTGCATAATTGGCCAAGTCAGACTGATATACAGACCCACTCACGGCTAGCTGTTAAATGTGTTTGTCCGGACATGCACAGAGAAAAATCAGGAAACTTCGATTTTCTCTCAGCAAGCCAATCAACCATATCAAACTGAAAGTATGGATAAAATAAGGCCGTGGTAAGTCAAGCTGTATATCATTTTTGTTTTCGAATACTGCTATACGAGTATGAGTACTTTGATGATCGAGTACAATTTTGACATGTCAAGTACGAGTATTTTGCTGCACAAGATGAGTACTGTCATTTCGAGTACAGGTAGGCCTACTTTGACATATTCGAGTACGAGTACGATTGAGTACTCTAAATAAAGTACTCGAGTAGTACTCGAGTACAAGTACCGAGTACGAGTACTACAACACTGTCTGAAATGCATTTTAAACGAGATACATGTATGTTAAGCTGAAAGAGCATTTTAAAAGTAGGATATAAACGTCCACATAACCATCCTTTAAAAACTGGACGTTTTTGTGTTATTCTTGCGAGAACCATGCAAGAACGAATTTCGGGGTCAAAATGTTGACTCTCAAAACTGGTGCTGTGTGTACCAAATGTGTACTGCACATTGAATATACACGGCTTGAAATATAGGTATTCATATAAGCCACAAAATGTCCGCCTCATCCGATGTAAACAAACGGTAAAACAACCTTTAGCTGGTTTCCTTTTTACCGGACCTACATGTATGAAATAGAATAAGTAAACAATCCAAAACATAAAATCTTTGCGGATTTCAGGCCGCAATGCCTCTTTAAACTAAATTCCCAACCTAGCAGTTACATATACATGTACATTTAAGCTCCATATCACTTTAGTTTTTATTTTAAATCACTTGCTTTCAATAAAAAAAAAATTACTTCTCTGCAGACATTCGGTTACACGTATGAACTTGGCAGTAGTGTTTAGCTACCGTAGTGATAGATTCATGGATGTGTACAGAAATCAAATTACTGGACTTCAGGAATTGTTCATATTGAAAAATGTATCCTCAGGACGCAGGTCAATATCCCGCCATTTACTTAACAAAAGTGCACACCCATTCCAAACTCTTTCTGATATCAAGCGACAAGTACTCTTCTCAATTACTTCAAATGTCTAAATAATTTCTGACAATCATCAATAACTGCTGGAGTCCAATACTACTCATAATGTCATAGGACAGGACTCTATAGCTAAATCATCCAAATGCATTTAGGAAAGGACTGTGATGGGTGTAGACAACGGTATACAGGAAGTTGTGTCTATCTTGTCTATTAAGGGAAAGGCCATCCCAATCAGCAGAAAATTGCTTTTATCAGCAGCCAATTTGTCTGTCAAAAAATGGGGAAAAAGCTTTCTGACTGTCCAGTCAAGCATGGACGATGTTGCTACCGGTATCTATTTAAGAACAAGCTTCCCATATTTTAGTCTCTTTATCTTTCCTTGATTTATACTCTTAGTTGTCTTTTCAAGAGACAGGCGATCACATTTTTTTACCCTTAGAACAGAGAGAGGCCTATCAAAAAAAGAAATATTTTTCACTTTATCATTAAAACATGCAGGTGTACCTTTAAGGCCAATTAAACTAGTGTTGTGCATTGGGTCGGATTGACCAGGCCAAACTGGCCCGAAACATCCATAAATAGGCCTTTACACCGAATCCGATCCAAAACCAATCCAAAACCCCCAAACCCAATCGGCCCCGACCCAACAAAAACCGACCCTAACCGACCCTAACCCACCCGAAACCAAACAAAAACAACCCTGAATATCTGGCTTGGGCAACTGTGTACACTTTTTGAGCCTGAATTTACCAGTGTCGTGTGAAAATCGTCGTCTCTCAGTAAAGAATCTTACCGTGTGGTATAGTGAAGACTCATAACTTTATCTACTGGTGGGGCCTACACATTACTGTGCATGATAGAATGCAAACCACATATGCACATTCGCGCACTGGGTTGACATTGGTCATATCGGGCATAGTAACTCTGCAATAATATTGCACAGTATGAATTTCCAACCTGTTCGTTTTTATAAAACGCACTGGCAATCAATGAGTGTGTTTGCATTTGCCCGACTAATTTGTGCATCTGATCACTCATTCATTTGTGTGTATTCAGAAAAACGCAGGCACTGTCGCGCGAAACTGTCGCGTATACTGTGTAAATTGGTCTTCAGACTAGAACTTAAGGCAGACATCACTCTTTTACAATGTTCTGAATGTCAATATTAGGTTTTTTTTCCAACCTTCACTCGGGAGCCAACACACTGAGCATGCAGTGTTTATATGTCGGTGAAGGGCAAAACCTTATTGATTTACATCACCCTGATGTAAATTCCATCTTATGAATAGTTCTGCATGTCACTCTGCAAAGTTTTCCTTCTTCCAAACTATTAGTTATCTCTGTAAGTGAAACGCCATCAAAATATATTACCCTTACGACATCCCCCCTATTCACCAAAAAAAACCCCCCAATAACAACATTGTTTACTGAATCCAATAATTTATGCAGGTTGCCAAGGAGACTTCAAGGCCAGAATTACTCTTTTAAAGTCACATGCCAAAAAAACGGCAGGGCTGGCTAAAATGATGCAAAAGCCCATAGTTGACATTTATTCATTAGTCTTGTTAGTGATACAAAACACATCAATGGCCAAGTTTTAATGGCCATTAGTTTTTGGAGTAATAACCAAATGGATATAATCCCTTTAAAAGGGTCTTCCTGGTAAACTGTCATTAGTGATACAAACCACGTTAATGAATTCACAGAGTCTTCCTGACATTTATGCATTAGTAATTCAAATTATAGCATCTTTTGAATAAATTATTTTCTGCAGCCACTACCGGTAGGTGTTGCTGTGATGCGTGTCTGGAAGGCTTATACAGCGCGTCCCAAAATACCCGCAACAATGTTTTATGAGGCTCTAGCGTCGCCATGGAAATGTGTACCACCATTACTTTCATATCATTTTAAAGCTTGGAATCTTAAATTTATTCCTGGTAAGTTTTTGTTTGATATTCAAAAGAGTTTTGACATTTTTCATGTTCAAATAAAGGCATGTCAAAAAAAACAAAAACCTCAACCGCTTTCAAGGAAAATCAATCATGCACATTTTTTCTAATGTGGAAATGCTTCATCATGTTCATCATGTGACAATCTTAGTGCCTTTTACTTTCTGTGTTTCCTTTTCCTTTTGATCCATGTAGACTACACCTCAAATAATTCACAATATTGTTCTTTGTTTCAAGTTCGATGTGTTTTATATAAATCAACTGTTTTTTTTTTGTCAATCAGCTTGTTGACTCAAGTTTGCATATGATGCACCGGTACCACATCATCGATTTTCCTTGAAATCGGTTGAGTTTATTTTCGACATGCCTTCATTTGAACAGGAATAATTTTAAAACTCTTTTAAACATCAAACCAATACTCGCCAGGGATGAAGTTAAGATTCCAAGCTTTAAAATAGTATAAACTAATGGCGGTACGTGTTTCCGCGTCAACGCTAGAGCCTCGCAAAAAAAATGTTGCGAGTATTTTGTTACGCCCTGTAGTCTTCACTTATCAGGCTCATGCTCACTGCAGTGCATCACTGAGTGTCACATATCGCGCTATGTAATTTAATTGCGATGCGGGTTCTGTTTCCCTGATTTCACGGTTCAGGCCATGAAGTTGTGCGTAACGATCAGGTGAGGGAGGTACATCTATCATGGGGGAACTTTCACAGCTTCGTAAACAGGCCAATTTCACGCCAGGAATGTGACTTCATACATTAAAAGAGAATTTAATGATGAGACAGACTTTAAGGTTGTTGTTGTCTCAAAACTTTGGTATGACAGTTATATTTCCATATTGTCTCCTTTGCATTGGCAGTGTTTAGTTGTACAGAAACCACAAGTACAAGCTTCAGCTTCTTGTTTCAAGTTTTGTTTAGTTTTTTTCCCCTTGTATTTTACTTGGCCGGTACCTCATAATAGTATGGAAATAAATCTGAAATGTAGGTTGGGGCACTGGTAGGAAAATATTCAATTGTTTCCAATTTATACTCAAACTAGAGAATGACAAAAAAGAGAATGACAATATTGTTGTCTGTGCACCAGTCTAAAAAATTAAAATTTTAATGTACCGGGTAATTTTCAAAGTCCTGCAAATATGGCAATTTATGTATAATATTTACGGAACATTTACTTCTCATATGACCAACATTTATTATTCTGGTTTGGCAAGTGACTCAATTAAATTACACATTGATTTTTTTAATGCATTTGGTTAATTTCACAGCTTAATTCACAGCACAGAGGGAGTTATTTGAGATTTTTGATGTCAAAAAAGGGAAATTTCAATTCTAACAGCTCACTGCGTGCAAGTCTACCATCTTGGAAAACATGACTCCGAAGACTATTTGCGTTTGCCAATCGTTGGCGGCACATGACGGTCAGTCCCACTTGCCTGAACATTGCCAACATTGGCAAACATTAGCATGGTTTGCATATGAGTGCTACGCACCCTTAGGCTTGGTATATATCAAGCATGATGCATATTGCATCAAAGGGATGTACATTTTTAACAATGGATTTGCCCTTCACAGACTGTCTCATTCAATTATTTGGTCAGGTGTATTTTAATATATGCTACTAGCATCAAGTACATGTTCTTCTGGCATCTCACAGACATTTTAGAGGCTACTGTGTAGATCTCAATGACAAATGTAAATTTACACACATCAATTGCTTACTCTAGATCATGACATAGCCCAGGTTGGACGAAGTCTTCATTGCATTACGACTAACGTCCAGGACGAGAATTCTCTACATAAGACCACCCAAAATTTGGACCAGATTTTTGTTACGTTTTACCTCGTTACAGAAGCTTATTTTACGCCTACATTTTCTATGTGTCCTTACTTATTGGGCTGCTGGGTTCAGGAATTCCATATGTGATGCTGACCGACATTAATCAGGAAAATAAACTCTAAAGCAGCATTAAACTTGTACGTGTTTGTAGTCTCTTTTCATCAGTTTATTCCCAGAGTCGTACATCATGTACAATGTACGTGCGTACGAAAGCGCGCACGCACGCTAGCGCCCTCGTTTGTTTAGTTTTGGTTGGAACCGTGACATCACTCCAGCCAACCGATGTCACGAAAACGCTCAACCAATGACCAAAGCCGAAACGTGTTTCTGGTAACTGGCGCGAAAACACGCTCGGTCATTGGATTGGCGACCGCGCCTTCAAGTAAGTGCGCGTGCGTATGAGGGTGGTTATTAATTAAGCAAATCGTGCGTGCGCACTGCATATTCATGCTGCATAGTCTGGCACCCGGACCAGACGTGATATGAGCGTTGAGAATAATTGACCGGTCTTGGGAACCAGACTACACGCTGCACAGACGTACAATCATGTACGACTAGAATAGACTCAGCGGTGAGAAACTGATGAAAAGAGTCTACAAACACATACAAGTTTAACGTTGCTTTCGAGTTTATTTTCCAGATTAAGGTCGGTCAGCATCGCATATGGAATTTCTAAACCCAGCGGCCCAATAGATAAGGACACATAGAATACTACGACGTAAAAATTGGCTTCTCCAACAAGGTAAAAATATTGAAAATATCGGTCATAAATTTTTTCGCCCGGTTTTGAGCACTTCATACCCTGGACTCCCTCCGTTACGTAGGGAGGAAAGGGAGTCCACCTGGGCTAGATCGTGCCAGAAAGATATGCTGAATGGGAATGTGAAACCGAATTTCAAATGAACAAGCAAGATCCACCAGTTGTGCTTTTCTTGAAGCGAACACAATCTGGGCAGAAATTCCCCCTGGAAACAGAATGTCATTTGCATTTCAACCAATTTACATGTAGTTATGCAGGATCCCCTAGGTATCTGTGCCATGAAAATGACAATGAGAGTCTGTATGAGCTAGCCTTTTCTAATTTACCTGTACCTTTTCATTCTCTGTCTGGATTCCAATTGCATTAGGAATCACAAAGGCCGTCCTCGCCTTGCTGATGCTAGTGATGGAGCTCATCTTTATGGTCACCTGCAGTGACAAGAGATCAACAGAAAACATTATCCATGTCAAATCTCCGGGGAAATCAAGAGTGTTTTGCTTATTATATTTCTCCATTATTGAAGTATCACTACAAACAGACAACTGTGTACTGAGTAAAGCCCCAGGGTTTGCAAGTCAATGTGCACTGTTGGCGAAAGTCTGCATACTGTGACTACTGTTCTATGTTATTAGACTCAACAAGCCTCAGAAACGATGTAAGAACCCAACTCAATGAAACTACAATGTGCAATACAGGTTAACTTGCATGTACATCAAATATATCTTCCAATGAAAATTATCGAAAATCATGATAAGTTATCTGCCACATTTCCATCTTGGGGACCATGAACAGACAGTACATTTAGTTTTGGTTGATTTCAATAATGGGTTGTGCCCTTCACAGACATACCGGTACATGTATTTTATTTAGAAAAAAAAACAAACAATTCTGTTGGCAAAGGGGAAAACAAAAAAAAGTAAAACCCAACATTCTACCTTACAATTCTGTTTGCAAATCAAATAGCAACAAAACTGGCTTCAGATTTTATAAATAACCACCGTTCTCAGCAAATCAAACACATTTTCCTCATACAGTAAATGTTTGTCTAAGTATGTCATGTGTACAATGTATGTTGGCAGAGTAAAAGCGAATGTCTATCACCAGCTATATGTAATTATACATTTATGAAAACTTCATGAAATTTTGGCAGTACATGTACATGTAAGCTTTTCCTTGCTGATCCTCAGTTGTCTGTAACACAATCCCCTGAGGAATTCACACGACACCTCGCATCTTAGACACTAACCTGAGTTTCATACGTGAAGATGTGTGAGTGGAAACAGATCCAGTTCTGAGAGATGAACATCCTCCCGTGGAACATGATCTCCTTAACCAAGGCACATGAATACGCTGGGAGGGGAAAGCACATGCGAAAATTGAGAATGAGCAGCCATGAATGTATGCAAGGAGTCAATATCATCAACTAGATATAGACCCAGAAATACAAGCCTGCCATCAACAGGGCCGACACTTGATATTTAAGCTTTTCTGATTTGAGTAAGCTTTATGCAATCTTGTGGGTACGAAAAAAAAAATGTTAAACTGAGCCATCAAAGGCAAGAAAGAATTGAGAAAGAAATACATGTTGTTTTGGAAACCAGTCAGCAAGACAACCAGCCAACAAGATACCCAGCTAGCCAGCCAGAAGCCAACCAGGCAACCTGCCAGCCAGCCAGCATGCCAGCCAGCCTACTAGCCCTCCAGCCAGCCAGCCACTCAACCACTGATCTCTATATAAAGACTGGATAGCTAATACAGAGCCGCACAATGTACGAATTTGACGCCATATTGGTGAGACCGGCTGGTGATCTACAAAGGACAAGTTGCCGTTTTTATAGACAGCATGATTTCTTTTGTAACGTCGCGGTTCACTTGACTTATATTTTGACCACCATCACTGATCAAGGTTAACTACAATTTTTCTAACGTCGTGGTTACTAAAATGCCGCAAATATAACTTTTTCGGCGTTTTGAAATAATAATCACTACGGAAATGTGTCCCTTTTAGAACATCATAATATGTGTACGTGACCAAAATGCGCGTCAACTGTTGATACAACGCGCGCGTATTTACGCGTAGAACGTTCGTGTTATACGCGGCCATCTTCGTGAGACCGGGGGCAAATTGGTCAATGTGCGAAGTCTACTGTGTGAATGTTGTATGCATATCCGCTATCCAGTCTTTATATAGAGATCAGTGCACTCAACCCACCAGCCAGTCTACATGTACCAGCCAGCCAGCAAGCATGCCTGTCGGCCAGCCAGCAAGGCAGCCTACTAGCTCTCCGGGGAGTCAGCCAGCCTACTACTAGCCCTCCCCCAGCTAGCCAGTCAACCCACCAGCCAGTCTATGTACATGGGGAGCCAGCCAGTCAGCCTGCCTGCCAGCCAGCCAGCCAGGCAGCCTACTAGCCCTCCAGCCAGCAAGCCAATCTTTTATCCAGCCAGTCAGTCTGCCATTAACCAATCATTTATCCAGCCAGCCAGTCAGCCATTAACCAATCAGTCGGGGAGCCAGCCAGTCAGCCATTAACCAATCATTTATCCAGCCAGCCAGTCAGCCATTAACCAATCATTTGGGGAGCCAGCCAGTCAGTCAGACATTAACCAATCAGTTATCCAGCCAGCCAGTCAGTTAGCCATTAATCAATCATTTATCCAGCCAGCCAGCCAGTCCGCCATTAACCAAACATTTGGGGCGCCAGCCAGTCAGTCAGCCTGGTAATTTGTAGTTAGCAAGTCATCTGCATACATGTATATTATAGCTAGTACTGGTCACTCATCGCAACACGAGATATTAAATAAGTACCATGGAGGTAATGGGGTACCTGGGGAGCTAGACAGCCAGCCATCCAGCCGACTAACATGACAGACCAGTCAACCAACAAACCAACCACAAAACAAGACTAGTCAGCTGACAAATCAACCTGAAATATTTTACTTGTAATTGTATGATGGTCAATTACCAAAAAGGCAATCAGCCAACCTCATAGCCGGAAACAAGATATCCACTTAGCTACCAGTAGAGGCTTAAGAAAAGCGTTCACGCAGAATGCATCCAATCAAGTAAAACGCGCAGATCCCAAATGTTTTCATGCCGGTACACGTATCGTACTACATGTATACCATGGTCAACTGCATGCACCTGGGTTTGATGATGCATAGCTTTTCATTAAACACAGACAACTGCCTTTTTCTGCAATGTGTCCTTGACAAAAGTACATGATGTATGATCTTCAGTGCATGACTAGTGCTTGCCGAAGGGCAAAACAGAATTAAAAAGTTACACGTACATCTCCCCGATGCAATTCCATCTTTATAAACAAATTCGATTGCAGTCCCCGCTGCTACTTGTACATGTATGTATCAGACTCGAAAAGGCCAGCTGACCCCGGCAAGCTTTGTGGTCTAGTGGTAAGACGTCTGCGCTAGTAAGCAGGAGGTCGTGGGTTCGAGTCCCACTTGAGTAATCTTGTGAATTTGTTCTGGTAAGCCCTCGGACAAAACTGAAAACACAGTGTTTATATAAACATATAAAATAAAACATAAAATAAAATGTACATCTTCCGACGCAAATTCCATATTAAAAACAAGAAGTAAATAATTTTTTTTTTTTTTTTAATGAGTGGGATAAATTTTCATTCTCCACAAGTTTTCTGCACAACTTACTAGTACATGTTCGAGATAACTGTCATTGTTTTAAACTGTTACTGCAAGGTGCATATCGCATACAGTGAACACGTATGTACATGTATCATGTAGTGATACTCATTTGTACAACGATATGTAGCATACATTGTACATGTTTGATCCTGCTGACTACTTGTACACGATGAACATGTACCGGTACATGTACACCTGTACAGGTAGCTGGCAACATGTAAATCTTGCATCAGTAGAACCAATCATCAATCAAGCAGTCTACTCAATTTGGTTTCAAGCCCCCTAGCTCAATGCTTGCTTGCTGGGGGGGGGGGGGGGGTGTTCCATGGGCCAAAAGGGAATGAACAAAATAATGCATCCACAAGTTCACCAGAATCCAGGTCAATACATACAATACGTACACGCATGTAATTGCAAAGCTGTAACTGTAACAAAAAGGCACTCATGCAGTGCTACCCTGTATACCGTGTCTGATATATACACAAGGTTGGACAGATCGACACAGATGTACATGTACAACATTTATGCACATGGCCAGGCAATTGCTCAATTGCTGTACTGCAAGTCAATTTCCATAATGCTGAAATCCGGAATTTTAATTCTCCTTGTTCTGCTATGGGCTCGAGTCCGTGTGCCAACAAGTGAGGGCGTTTTTTTTAAAACTACATTTGAGGGCTCCATGGACAAAACACACTACGTTCGTGCACAGATTCGCGTGTGTATGCGCGGAGTACGCACCACTAATTTCATTCTGAACGTGCACAAAGCCATAGCGTGTTCTTGTGAGCGTCAGGCGTTAATTGCACGAATCTCACGAACCCGTACACCTTTCTTCAGTAAAATAAACTGTTCAACTACATTACAACTGGATTTGTGAGCAACATTCGTGTACTTTTATGTACACAAATAACTGCTTGCAGACCTGCATGTCTTGCATGAATTACACATGTCCCAACCCTGGAGATATCTCAAGCCTACCCAACAACAAATCTCATAGAAATGGCCCCCACCAGCAATTTGCCAGAGAGCAGCAATATTCCCGTGGGGCTACAACCCACCCACACCTCACAAGTTTTGTGATTTGCCGTGTGCTTCACACCTCCTCCCGGAAATTCCCACATGACCGTGGAATATGTTGGTCTACCTTCAGGCGTGTCACAAATTCATAGGCAATTACATTTCTAAATCCAATCATGCAATTTGAATGTCCCCCTTCAAACGCACATGTGTGCCTTTTGGGGAGGTGGGAAGATGTCCGGTTTTTGCATTAATCAAGTTCTGCCACATCAAAATTACATGTAATGCACATAGTATGTGGAGTACAAGTTCCGGTACCGGTACGCACTTACCTGCATATCCGAGCTGGAGGCAATGTACACGTATATTATTTGTATGTACATGTACACCCTGGATAGAACCAACAGGACATGGATAAAATACCTTGGATATATGGGCATGCTCATTATCTTTTATAACTGAATTAAAAAAAAAAATAAATTAGGGGGGGGGTTGAGGGATTGGTCATGTTGAAGGTGGTGGAAGTGGTGGTGACGTTGATGGTGGTTCTTTGATTCGTTCAGTGATAATTGTGTTTAACTGTACTGCCCATTTCTTCTTCTTTTTTTTTTGGGGGGGGGGTGGTTCGATCTGTCTGCACCATATAATTTTATCACAAAACCCTTCCTACAAGACTTCAATCCCTTCTTGCTCATCCATCTTCAATCTGCCAGCAAAAACTGTGGCCCAGGCTACCACGATCTCACCAGCACGGTGGACAGACCTCGCCCTTTCACATTAACGGCCAGCAGCGGCAAATGTACATGTGTACCATGTACTCATTAACTTGTCACTCCTGCCTGCATTAGCACATTTTCAAATTCATCTTCTCACATTGTCTCAAAGAACATATTTAGTTGATGTAATAGGCCTACATACATGTATCTCTTTGGGCAATTAAAGTCCTATACTTTATTTTCTTTTTTTTTTGCAGACCTGCAGACATGCAATTAGGAAGTTACCCTATTTTTTGTTTTTAGGAAAGTCTTAGTTGAATGCTCACAACCTTCTACAGTGCTTTGCAATATGTTGGCGGCACACACGGAAAGTTGCACGTACGTGTAATAGTAAGGAAACTGGCAGATCTATAAAGGAAAAGTTACAAGTTTGTTGTTTTTTTCCCTTAGTTCTGTTTTCTCTGGGGAGGTGGTGGTGGTTGCACGTAAATCCTTTTCATCTTTCGTTTCAGAATCACAAGTGAGATAATCTACTTCAAGGTGAACGTATACAACTTTTTGTTTCTTATTAAAATAATTACCCAATATTATTTAGAGAATATTTCCTCGTACTTACAGACAATAACGGTTTCTTCTGTAGGGATGAAACTAAAGAGCTTGTGGAACTGTCTGTTACGACTTTCATTGCTCATTTCCTGCATAAAACAACAAGAAAAAAAAAAGAAGAGTTATGGGTTAAGCACATGTACATGTATCATCACACAACCTTGAAGAAAATTCAAATTATATTCAGGAACAGTACATACCGGTTCACTTTGAATTATTCAGGTAGTTCAGCAGGAAATGGCAGAGTAGCATGACCAAGGCAATGAAGATCAGATAATCAGCAGCACTTCGGATGCTTTAATGGGTATTTGATTTGCACTCGGTGATATGGGGTCTCAAACAGCATCGCTTTCAAACTGAAGCTGACGAAGTTAACTGAAGTAATGTGATCTCTCATTCCTTGGAAATTCATACAATTAAATCCTGGGGAAGATACCGTACATGTACCAGTATATCACATCAAATAATATGAATAAAGGAAATGTGGAGAGACAGAAAACATGATACACCTGCGTCTGATTACTGAATTGAACAAACAATTAAAAGAGACATTGTTGGTAATGAGCAAATAATGTACTTCTAAAAAACAATGGAAATGAAACTGAAACCAAAAAGCAAACAGAGCTACACAGTAATAGTATACCACAGACATGTATGCACAAGTACATGAACATGTACAAGTACATCAAATGATTGTGAAACTTTTCAATTTTCCAGTTGTAGTAACTGAACAGTTTTTGTTGAGTGTCTTGAAAGTCAATGTAAACTATACTTCATCCCCTTTTATTATGCTTTGACAGTTTTAGTGGGTAATATGCAGGTTATAAAAATAAATTAGAACATTAAACATTCATATCGGTACAATGTATGTCCTATTATTACACATGTGCACACCTCTTTTACATACATGTTTAAGAATGTTAAATGAAATTTCAAAATGGTACATGTACATACTGGTACAAGTACTCATTTCTAATGGGATATCGATCAACAAGATGTTATTACTCACTTAGATCCGTTGCACAATATCTGATAGATTTGAAATTTCACTACATAAAGTGCTACATGTATGCATTCTGCACCTTGAAACTGTGGATCTTCACCCAGACGTCATCAGACTGTCTTCAGTTAACCTAAACTAGGAGATGCAGTGCATAACTCGTCTGAACAATCCTCATCTGAACAATGGACCCCAATAACGAGTGCATTAATTCAAACGCTTTAATAATCTTGCCCTGAAATTATATAACCCCAGTTCTAGAAAAGGCTAGAAAAGGGAGTAGGGCAACATATGTGTGCTACATCAGGTACCGGTACCATCTGACCAAAAAGGCCAGTCAAATTTGATCAGAAATTTTGGTCTGCTGATATCATTTGGCAATTAACAAGTTCATATGCTAAGCAATTAATGTACTGCTTCATTTGGAAAAAAGTTAAAGAAAAGAAAAGCACACAATTTGTTGAGCTGATGACCATCTCGTTATAAGACATGCTTTGGTTCAATGGATGTTAATAGGGTCACTGTCATTCGCAAATTGAAGCATGTCAGCCAAAACGCACACATCAAAATCAAACCGGTTTTCTACGTTTGTGCTTTTTCAGTCCACTTTGTGTCTGCTGCCTGGTGATGAGGCCTACGCAAACCTAATACAAACATGTATGCAACAGACACAAAAAGCGTATGGTGTTCATGTACAATGTACATGTACATTAGTCCTGTTTGTTTACGGTTTTGACTGGAACCGAGTACCCTTTCCCGGTCAAGGTCGGGAACCCGGGTACCCGTAAAAGCCCTCCCCCCCCCAAAAAAAAACCCCTGGAAGTAAGTGTTTTCATTTATAACGCCAACCCGGAAGTAAGTGCTTTCGTTTCTAAACACCCCATTGTGTTCTATAATGCTTTCTGTGCAGGTATACCGATTTGCAAAAGGTCGATTTGTCAGTAAAAAATAGGAATTGCAAATTCAATGTCTATTATATACAGCACCTGAGTTTATGAAATAAAAGAAACGTAAGGTGATTAATAAAGAGTTTAAAGACATCGATGACAAAGTCGGCGAACTTCCAAGAGCTCCCCACTGTGTATTCTTAAGTGAGTCCATCCGGCCGTCACCTCAGCCCAGGTGGCCCACACTGACTGCAGCGCTGGTTGTAGCATGCATGCAGCGCGCGCAGCGTGGTCGGCTTACTCGGCTAGGCATGCGTACGCCGACCAGCATGGCAGTCAGTACACGGTAAGTTGAAAGCACGTGCACAAATGGTGTTGTGCTTTATACCCGGCGCATGCGTGCTGTACTACGCTAATCGCTAGTCAAGTTGCACTTCTTCTGTGCGTTGTGATTGGCCAGTTCCGCAGAAAATATTGGCGCGCGGTTATTTTTTTTATTATATCATTTGTTGTTAAAGGTATATTTTTTATCTACACTTTGTTCGATCAAAAGGAAATTACAAATGCCCTTAAAAGTTTCTCAGGCTTTGAGACATCGTACATCAGAAAAAATCGGGTTAAAGAAAAACAATTAATTAACAAACAGTTTTGACTTTTCTGTACAGTTTAAGTTTTATTAAAAGAAGATCATTTCCTGGCGGCCCGCTACGAGAAACTTATTAAAAACACATACAATGGGTCAACTTTCGTGCTTCTGGAGACGTATCAATTCAAACTTCAAATATAGTCAACAAAACTGAATACAAACTAAAAACCGCAAGATGGAGGTTTTTGAATAGTTGGTTATTCACTTTGAACTTTGTAAATCTTAGGTTATGGACTTGTTACGGGTACTACCCGCCATCTGCGGCGCATCAGAGAAGATGATTTCCTGGCTAGCGTCTACAAGAAACTTTATTACAAACACAAACAATGGGTTAATACTATCGTGTTTCGCCACTTTCGGGCTTCTGGAGACGCATCAAAGATAGTCTAAATAAAACTGAAAACAAAATATACACCGCAAAATGGAGTTTTGGAATCATCGGTAAACTCACTCTGAACATTGTAAATCTTCTGTTAGTGATATTTGAATGCATGAACTTGTGTATTTTTTTGTCTCGGACGTTGCGTCGAAATTTATAAATTCGGTTACGGGTACCCGACCCGATAAAATGAAACCGGTTCTTGGCCTCCGCGGGCGGGTACCCGGGTACCCGCAACAGGCTTAATGTATGTGCATATTTTAACACTTTATTCTATCTCATAGTCTAAAATTAGCTAACACTCTTTTTTTCCGCTCCTTCTCCAATAACAAATTATGGTTCAAACCCTCCCTTAGGGATCTCAGTGGGAGACTTCAAGCCTTTCATGTAACAACAAATGTACACTTGCGCTATGGGTGGCACTGCTGCAAAGAATTGGTTGATTCCGCTGAATGCTTGGCATCGTAATACCATCCCCGGGAAAAAAACCTCCATGCCCTTTGAATTCCTATCGGGTTGAATTTCATCTTGTTGATGCAGGGTTTAGAAAAAGTCTGCATAGTGTTACTTCAAGAAATAACCCGCATGCCCTCAGAATACTGTGAAGATCCAATGGTCGTATATCAGCGAGTGACAACTCAATAATGCTGGTACATTTTTAAAGTTTGCTCAATGGTACATTTACAAGTACAGAGACGCAGTGTATTTTAAAAGGTGAAACATAAATGTATGTATAGACGCTAATGGGGTACAATTGACTGCAAATTTGAAGAGGGGGACATTGGAGGGTACAGCAAAGCAAGATATTTTGTTCAGTTTTCCTGTGCATTCCTGAGGCTGTTATGATCATGTGTACAAAAATATAGAGGACTTTCCCTGAACCTTAGAAATGACAGGGGTCATCGTAAATAATAACATGTAGGTAAGTAACATGGACAGAATTTTGGTGATAACTTGACAGGACACTAATCATGTGCATGAATTTACCCAGATATCATCTCATTTAATATTGTTAATTCAGCCAAAACAAACACAATTTTCTTGGTCTAATGAGACACTTGAATATGTAACATTCGTAACTTGGACAGAAATTTTGAAACAAATTTTGTGTCGATGTACGGCATGTACATAATATTCTGAATATCATTCCCTGTGACGCCTTAAATACAAAGTAGATTTTCTCCGTTTTGGTACATTGTACATTGTACATGTAACAAAGCTATAAGGGTAAGAATGAAAAGGCACAAAACATGTCATTTTAACTTTCTATCAATACTAACAAACTTTCTGCCATGTACACATACACATTTTTGCCTGGAAAGTTGTATATTCTTGTTGAGCACAATCCTCAACAATGGGGTGGGAATGTACACAGGGAATAGAGGACAAACAACTTGATGTTATTATCCTGCTTCATTTCCCAATCCCAATGCACATTTTTGTACCTTGAGTGTAGAAAGACCCAAAAGTGTATAAGCATGTACAGTGAAGTGGGCAAACATACATAATATACACACTGTGATTGAACAAAGAAACTTCTGTTGAAATCTCTCTCATATTTTACAACATTTTGGAAGCATTCAACAACAATAGACTCATTTTTCCTTTTTTAAGCAGTGTATTGTGTTTTGTGGAATTGATGTTTAGAATTTAGCCATTAACTTTGGCTGAGTGGTTTTACCACAATTGCTTATTAGCTGGCATGACGTTTCAGTCTTAATAACGAGACCTGTTTCAGCGGCAAAATATTTCAGTCTTAATAACAAGACCTGTTTCAGCAGCAAAATACCAGAGACAAATCCATTTGCCTTTGAAGCAGGCCTCATAAAGACCAAAATGTCAAGCCAGCTAATTTTGATTTCAAGTCAATCCAGTCAGTAGGCAGTTTGCAGCAGTTTAATTCCTTTTCACAATTGTTTATTGTGACAGCTACAAGACTTCCAGCCAGTGTTAGTCAGCGTTGATGAATGCAGGTAAAATCAAACGGCAGAGGAACTGTAGTATCAGTTGTAAAATGTAAAACCACACCTTTTTAAATTTTTAAATGTTATTGGAATTGCAAATTTCCCTCATGTAATTTAAACCGTACATCTAATAATAAACAAGTACCAAGTGGTACAACCCACAGCGGTTCCACGAACAGAACAACCATAAATTTTGCAATGCAATGGGGCGTAGTCTAATATGCAAATTAGACGCATGCGCATCAGTGTCACAAAGCTGTAGGTATTCCATAGAAACTCACTGGCAAAGCTGGGATACACGTGTGGCATGGAACAGTATAATACACCCCGAGTAAAGTGTCCACCAATCAACCAACCAACAAATCATCTCACCAACCGACCAACATAAGCAGCTCAAGCCCACGGCGTGTTTCACACCGCTGTGGGAAAAATGGTGGTCAGCGATTGATGAAAATAACATCTCTGGATATTGTACCAGCACTCTTTAAAAACCAGACGCCTGCAGAAATGCCGAGTGACAGGCCTAAACCGATTAATCAACCTGGAAACATTACAAAGCACCATGGAGACCACTTTGGAGAATACGTGTGTACACATACCTGTACGCACACATGTACGTGTATATGTAGGTTTCTCATATGTACGTATAATTATGACAAAATTCATTTTTTCCCCTTTTTTTTGGGGGGGGAGGCCTTGCACTTTGATCTTTCTATGTGGGGAGAAAAAGGACAAAAAAGAACCTAATGTACAGAACTAGTGAATCTACCAAAACATCATTTGCTATTCATGTTAAAGGAGAAGCATCATAAAATTTGGGGGGGGGGGGTTTATGAGGGAGAAATTAATTTTTGAGTTTGTGATGCATTGAAACTCAAAAAATAAAATAAAATAATGCCTTTTTCTTAACAGTTAGGATCCAAAAATTTGGGTTTTTTTTTTATGAGGGCGAAATTAATTTTTGAGTTTGTGATGCATTGAACCTCAAAAAATAAAATAAAATAATGCCTTTTTCTTAACAGTTAGCATGGTTAGGATCCAAAAAGAAAAACACTGTTGAAATAATAAAATATACTGTTCAGTCTCTCGATGAATCACTGCTCCTGATTTTAAAAACTAAAATCCAGGTAACTTTCAAGGGAATTTCTGTGGCTTATGTCCCCTTATAGCTCCCAAATCCCAACCAAATCCCTATTAAGCATCTCCTATTATCTGACAGGAATATTAAACTCACCTCGAGTTTGGCTAAGGCGTCAGTGAAGGCCTTTGAAACGGAGATGCCAAACGTCCTGGACCTGTACATACAGAGTAGCGCAGGAAATATAGGGAGAAAAAGGACAGGAAAGAAAATCGACAAGGAAAGACGATGAGAAAAAAAGAGAGGGAACAGTTAAAAACAACTTGTTATTCCCTCTTCAATTTGAAAAATATTATATAAGAAAAAAAACAAAGCCGATTTCATTTAACTCACCGGTCACCGGATAGGATAGTGAACAGTTTCAAAGCATGTAAGAATGTCAAAATTGTACAAACAAGTACCAGTGTACATAAATGTAGTCACAGTTGAAAACATTTACCTGATAAAATTCCAACATCTTTGTTTCATCTTTTTCCGCATCATATCTTTCACATTCTTACGGGATCAGTAAACCGGTGGAGGAAAACGAACATATGTTTGCATTCCAAGATAATATCAAATATCATGTGACAACCGCCACGGACTAATGAAGCTGAACAAGACTCGGTAATTACAACCATATTTTAGATTTCATTTTAATTTTAAGCCCTCTCATGTTTGCAACACTTGCACTAAAGTCCAGTTCAATGAAAACACTGAATACCCTGTAGATTGCAATTATTGGCAAGCAGCCATCTGGGCCCATCTGGGCACACGATGTTCTGCTAACTTTTGTTCACCCTGGCCGGTTTGGAATGTTTTATTGTCCTTGTTTTCTGTCCCTCTATCTCCTCTCCCCTGTCAAACTGTCCACCCTCCCTTCCCTCCCCCGACCCATTCCTTCTCGCATCCTTCAGTCCCATCAGTCTTGTCTGGACATACTTTTTCAATTTCCAGTTTTTGTTTACTTTATGATATATACATTTGCTTTGTCATTGTACTTTTGTTCATTTGTTGGCCGAATAAATAATAAATAATAGAAATAAATAACAGAGCCTATGTCTATGTACATGTACAGGTATACATGTACATATGTATTAGATCGTAAGCAGTAAGTACAGCAAAACTGCAAAAGACACGCTTTATTAATACCTCAGAGGGAAAAAAGTTGCTTAAATTAGCAACGTAAATACAGGTACATGTATGAGAATGAATTTCAATGAGAAAAAACAGTAAACTTGTGCAAGAACAGGGGAAAAAGATGTGAAATTAGCCCCCAAAAAGCCCCAAAACAGGCTCAAAACAAATACAAACGTGGAAATTTGGGCAACAAAAAAACGGGAATTCCTGTTTAAACAAGATTCTCATGCCTGTAAATTAGAGAAAACTCCATGCGCAGAACCATTAGAACATCAATGCTATGATACATTGTATAGTGCTTAAGTTTTTTTGCACAACTTTCTGCTATAGTAAGCACAACGTTTCTGCTAACTGTTGAGCAGCACTTGGGCCCTGGCCTGTCTTATATGTACACATGTTTTTACTGTACATTATTTCCTTCCGCTATTGCGGAAATAATGCTTCAGTGTGATGACAAAGTCAGCTGATTCCCCGGGATGATTTACTTAAAAGTCAACGAGTCTAAGTAGGGATAATCTCCATTACAGAAATTGATCCTTATCATTAAGACCTCTAATTAGCAATGGCCTTGCATTTCAAGAAAACTTAAGCAAGAAAATGTGCAATGTATACAGGTACGTACCGTACCAGTACAAACAGGTTGTATACCTGATACACCCTGTACGTAATTTTAGCAGCTATCCTGTTATATTGTTTTTTTGTTTATTGGGGGATTTTTTTTAATGCAGTAATACTGTTACATGTACCGGACTATCAGACGTTCATAGACAGAGCCACATATCGGTACTACATGTATCAGTGCATGTCATTTTAATGCATGTAATTTTTAATTGTAAGCCGCTTTTAGAAACTGTGACGTCATTTAGAACAGAACTTCAGCCAAAGTTTTCAATTGGTCAATAGCTACCATGTTTTTTGTCATACAACATTACGTTACCGAAGACACAATGGAAGGCACCCGCTGATTGGTCAGAATCTGGAGGTCAAGACGCAGTGTTGTTTTGAATAATCTACACGCATTTCACTGAAAGTGTTCATTTCATCGACTAATCTACTCACGCATATATCCCAGAGGAACAAAACAGCGCACCTCAAATATGGCTGCAGTGCAATGGATCTATGCAAAGCACTATTAAACACCAACAATGGAGAGATCATCACAGATCCCACAATAAAACAACCCGGATTTGACCTCCATCGCAAGCAATGGGTAACCCTGAACAGAATCTGCACCCTCCATGTTAGAATAGCCCATCATCTGAATAGGTGGGGGATGACAGAGATCCCTGCTTGTGACTGTGGACATCCAGACCAGACCATCCAGCACATCGTGAATGACTGCCCACTCAGGCTTTTCCCCGGTGGCATTGAAGCCATCCGGTGGCATCAAAGCCATCTGCAACACAACCAATGATGCCCTGGCCTGGATGTCTACCCTTGACCTACAACTGTAGGCTGTGCGTGCCATACGAAAGAAGAAGACTATAGGGCTCGTTCAGTGACGGCCATTTCTGTAGGAGAACTGCAACTGCGTATTTTACGCAATCAAACACGCATTGCACAGAGTTGAAAATGTTCCAAACACGTGCGCTGGTTGCTCGAAATGTGTTCCACATACGACACAGCTGATGCACGTTATGAAGTTTACGCTCAAAATGCCGATGTACGTGGATGGTCTGTAGGAAATAACGTCATTTGAACGAGACCTATCAAACTTTGCAAATACATGTAACCACTGAAACCAAGGGCCACACTGTTACCCTTTGTCATTGCGATAGGAATTACACAAGAAAAGGTCCCAAATGTCATCCATGGTTTGCACCGAGTGCTTCGGGTTTGTCTCCCAATAGGAGAAAGACTGGGGAAAAATGAAACATCTGCCAAATAATCAGCAGGGTCGCTGAAGGCCCACAAGGTATAGGGTTCATCTTTTCATGCTTGTGCCTTAAGACGCTCTAGTCTAAGCACATCAGCTGGGTATCAGTCAAATGCCATCCAATGCAATTTTGGCTGGTAACTGCTTTTTGCTGAGCAAATAATGTGATCATTCTACGTTTTTTTTTTTTTAACACTGTATACTCAGTGTGTTACCTCCCGAGTGAAAGTTGGAAAAAATCACTCGGGTGGGACTCGAACCCACGACCTCCTGCTTTCTAGTGCAGATGTCTTACCACTCGACCACCGAGCTAACGGGATCGGTTGGCCGGTTCGAATCTGATGTACATAGCAGCGGGTACCGCATAAACTATTATAAACTATTAAAAATTCCATTTTATAATAGTGATCGTTCTAGCAAAATGAGGCAGAACTGGGCAAAATGAGAATGAGAGAGAATTGAGGTTGAAATGAGGGTTTGGGGGTATTTGGAATAAGAATGAAATTCTCCCTACAATGGGCTCCATGCGCCAACAAAAGACGGCGCGTTTTTATCTCTTTTGAGAGCTCCGTGGACGGGACACACAGCGTGCGGGTACTGTACTGTACCGGTTCGTGCGTGAAGTACAAACGACTTCCTAAATTTGCAAAAGCTATAGCCATCGCGTATTCGCCTGAACGTCAGGCGTCGTTAGCGCGCGAATATGTTGGATACATTCGAAATACGCAGTGGATAGATGAATTGGGAACAAGTCAAGGTCACCCCCAACTCTCCTTTTCTGGCCGTTGATGAGGTACTTATGCACGGAGCCATACTGTTGCACTTCAGTCGGACACTTCGTTTTCAAGTTACAGCCGTTTAAAATTCCCATTTATCAAAAATGTTAAAAACAAAACCAGTAAAATACTGAGAAAAAAAAAACCTTTACAGTTTTGTTGTCGTGGTTGTTGTGAAGATGAAAAATGCTGATTGTTTTCCTTAAAAACACTTTGATTCAAGGAATTTTATACTATTTCTTTAAAAAAAAATTAGAGTAGGCATATATCAAAGATTACAAATTTCAATAAATGTGAAAATTAATATCTGAAAATCGAAAAAAGTCTCACCAATTCGGTTATTTGCATTTTTCTCCACTACATTTACTGCCTGTGCCCAGTTTTGTGTCATTTTGCCCAAAAGCCTCACATATTGCCTACATTGCTTGGCAATTTTATGTGCATACCGGTAGCTAAGCTCAATGAAAGTGGTCCCCAGCAGGCCAATCATTGCACACGATCTAATGGCGAGTACAGCTGAAAATTAGCATTAATGACATCCTGAGCTTCCAACGCTGAAAACAAATTCTTTTTTTTTTTTATCAAATAACTGAAACTACTAGATCAAATCATTTCTCACCTGCCCGTCATGCCTAATTGACGTCTGCTATCTCCCAATGAATGATTTTTGTCCACCGGCATTTAGTAATACATGTAGTTTGTCTACTCTTTGCTTAAGCACAGAGTCTGATGTGTGCGTTCACACCGAAAGCGTGCATTGGAGTGAAATGTCTCCAACAAGTGCTACTGCACACTACCCCTATCTTTCCATACCATTTACTGGTACGAAAAGCCAATGGAATTAGACTAACGCATGGCTGAACTCATAAAATGAAACAGGGCGAACAAAAAAAACCGGCGTTTCATATACTGCAATTTCACTTCCATTTTAAAAATATTTTTCCATGGCCACTTCCTCCTCCCATAAAAAATTATTACGTGTAACATCGTGACCGATGTACGTGTAACTCTAGAACAACTATAAAAATGTGTATCATAACAGGATGTGCGTTTATAACTTTCTTTTTTAAATGCTTTGTATGCTGGTATACAAATCACACAGCTTTAAGCAAATCGAGTTCACAGAAAAAGTCTACATTCAGTGATAAATTAAAAATACCTTTAGAGTTTCAAATTTGTCACTTTAATTACTTGTTCTTTGTCACTTCAAATCACACATAAACATGTAGATTACAATGTAACTACATGTGCAGTTCACTTTTTATTGTCTAGCACATTAAAGTGACACTCTTTTTCAGCCCCTCCCCCTACCCATTAAAGGTACATGTAACATTCATCTGGAGATCGCTAAAATTGAGTGCTTTCGTCATACTAACCCGTTATTCC